TTTAAAGTGAGCCTAAGTCAGAGGAACTGCATTCATCATTTATGGGCTACACGCATTCCAACGTTCCAAGGATTTCATTCATCAAGTGAATCAACTCATTTTCTCCTCACCCCCATCTCCTACCATCTCACCTCATTCCTTAAGTTATGAATGCTTCATCGAGTGTGCTCACCTCTGTTCACGATCGGACTAACTTCTCTTCTAAAATAATAATAATATTATACTATATAATAAATTATCTTCTGAGTTTATTCGCCAGACAGCAATTCCCCTTAAACCTAAACACAATCATGGACTGACTTTTTTTTTTCCAAATTTGGCATTTAACACAAATTTCTATCCAGATATAAATTCCACTTAAAGTGAACAGCAGATAAATCACCACTCAATGTTTCACTCTGGATGTTAATTTGGAGATGCTGTAATCATTTTAATGGAGAGTATAGTAGTTATAGCGTTCAGTTATAGTAGTATTTATTGTACAAATGTGTTCATTTTAACTCTTCCAGCACTAAAGGTAAAATTATTATTCAAACTATAGATATTGTTGAAAAGCACACTTTTAGTTATATTCCCAATTCAATTAATATATCATTTTGATGCAATTGTCAATATTTTAGGCCTGGGCTTTCAATTGACTGGAAAAGACCACTGGAGTTTGATTTTAGCCAATAAAACACACTCCCCATTTCTTGAGCTGAAATGTCTTTTGGCATTTCTAATGAATACTAAATCAACCAGGAATTAAATCTGCAAATGACTGAATCGATTGCATTTTATGGGGAAGCTTCGGGTAAAAGCTTCAGGCATATTGAAGCTGCTGACGGTGCAAGAAGACTAAAATAGCTTTAACTATCAGACTACAATAATAGTAATCCTTGCATTTGATACAGCGCCTTATCACGTTGTCGAGACGTCTCAAAGCGCTTCACAGGATACACTGTAAAGTGAATTGACTGCATATTCTGTGGGCGAAACGCGGCAGCCGATTGCACACAGCAGCGTTCCCCACAAACAGCTTTCTTTCCCACAAACAGACTAGCCATTTCCCATTTGATCAAAGTAATTGCAGGCTGGAGTGTGTTAAGTGGTACTGCGCATTCTACTGTCAAAGGAATGGGCTTTAAGAGCAAAGGGCTATACGGTTTGAATCAGGAAACCGGACGCTAATCTTACTGACAAAACCAGTTTTCCATCACTTTTCTTTTTACTCACAAGCATAATTAAACCCATTCAAAAACAAAATGCAACCCCTGATTGCAACCTTAATGCATCTTTGCCTTGTAGCCAAACGTGACTGTGTTGTGAATACAGGTGGTTGGCAGATTCAAGCTGGGTTTTATGGAACCTCCTTTTGAACTACATTGATTTCATCCAACTCCAGATTTTTTTGAAAAACCCAAGCTTACACTATCAGAGTAAAACAGCTGGCTCCTTGCAGCCTATATACTGTAGTATAGAGCGAGGGCTTTTATTATTAGCTGCAAATCTGCTCTTCAGTATTTGCAGATTATGCGAGAAGTCAATACGGGGAGGTAGGGAACAGTTATAACTGGATGCAAAAAGGATGTAAAAAGGACAAAAACATATTTGCATTCATGAGGATTTCAGACACCAAAATTTAAATAAAACTGGCTGACAGATTTGCATTATTGAACCATCCCTGCCCAAATCTATCCAGTAAAACTCAAGGCTTAGGAATCAATTTAATTAGATTGGTTTTCGCCTTCAGTGAATTTTATGCTCATCAATTTAGGGACAGTTGTTATTTATGAGTTGCTGACATACAGAACCTTTTCCCATTTTGGATATCCAGCATCAGCACAGAGTACTCCCATATTGTACAATTTGATGTGCAGTAAAGCTTATCCTACTCTACCTACTCCACATTGTACTACCGTCTCTATCATACCTCCGTATTGTGTCCAATACTGTGAGGAAGTTGCTGTAACGTGTATAATAGAGAAGACAGTGGAATTCTACAGGGATCAAATTTATCTCAGGAGAAAATAATGTAATTGCCTCAGTACTATAAATATGCAACGTTGTACGTGGATTACTTTGGAAAAGGTCTCACGTCCAAGACCTGTGTGGTAACTTAGAAAATATTTCATTGTAATTGTCTAGCTGAGATGAGCGTTCAAATGTTTCCAGGATCATGTAGCATTTGGGTTTTAATAAACCCCCAAAACAACTCGGTTAATGTGAAACTGTCAGGAACGTGGACACGTACTTTGACATTCCTCCTCTCCACCACCCCAATCTTTTTTTCAAAATAAAATGGTGAATATTTATTCACAGCAAAGTGCGAGATGACAAAACTGGCAAACGGGACATTTTTCCATAATGATTTCTAAAATAACATGAATTCGGGAATATCTCCAAATAAAAAAATAAAAAAATTTTCAATTCATTCCAGGTCTCCAAAACTCTATGCCTGTAATAAGACTAATAATCCTGGCATTTGATATAACGTCTTATCTCGCCTTTGAGACGTCTCAAAGCGCTTCATGGAATATACTGTAAAATGAATTGGCTGTGTATGTTGTGGGTGAAATGCGGCAGCCAATTACGCACAACAGCGTCCCACAAACAGTGACCACATTATTATTATTTTTTGGAGGTATTATTGCCTCGGAAAGCGATTCGCCAACTGACTAACTAACGACCCTAATTCCCCCTTCTCACTGGGCATCATCCCTGGAGCTAGCTTTCAGGATCAGGTACGTTACAAGCAAAAGATGGAGCAGCACTGCTTGGCTCTGTTCTATAAAATATTTAATTAGCACTCATGCGGGGTCTTGAGCTGAGCACATTAGCCTTTAAGTAAAGGAGAGTTGCTAATATGTGTTCCCAGACGACATAACTGAGTAATTTCATGAGACCGCAGCTGCAATTCTCCAGTGCATGACAGATTAATATGTGCAGACTTGTGCGGATTGACAACTATATGTTCTCTGCCTCTCTCTGCAAAATCGACAGGTGATAGCAGCAGTAGAATCAGTGTTTATTTGAGAACAGTATATTCAAGGTCGTTGTTGTTGTTGTTGTATATTATTATTCGTAGGTTCAGTGAATAGGCTTCTTCTCTGCTTGTAATCTCTATGATTCTGGAGGTGTAATAAAAGTAGCATCACACACACTAAGTAAAGGCAAACTAGTTGTTGCATGCATCACATCCACCTCCCATTTCTCTGAGCAAGGTCAGGGTATCAAGGGATATGGGGCACAGATCAGCCATGATCTTATAGAATGGCGGAACGGGCTCGAGGGGTTGAATGGCCCACTCTAGTTCCTATGCTCCCAAGGATTATTTAGTGACGATATGTCCTCTCGACATGAAAGGCACAATATAAATGCAAATTATTGTTATTTTTGTAGTTGTGTGTTCCATTGCAATATAGGCCAGAATGAGCAGTCTAAAAGTAAATCTTTTTGTGGCATATTCCTCTATTTTTCCGTGGCTGTTAATGTTAAAAGGATAAAATCTATTTCTGCAACTGATCTCTTTGAATATTAAAACTCTGCAGTATCGGCTCAGGCAGATTCTGCACATAGGTACAGACTTCTGCATTATTCAGAAAAGATTAATGGGCAGGCTTCACTTCACAGAAGTCAGAATCGAGATTAGCAAAGGACAAATACTTTTCAATTGCGAAATTGGCTGCTGCATTTCATCCACAGAATATACAGTCACTACACTTTACAGCATATTCTGCGAAGCAATTTGAGACATCTCGACGACATGATAAGGCGCTATATTAACTGCAAGGATTATTATTATTATTAATTCTGCAATTTAGTCCCCAATATTCACCAGCTGTAATACAACCTCAGAGAATTCCTGTACATTCTACTTTTTGTAAATTCAAATTGACTTGGGTTTTATTGCCTTCAATATTTAATCCCTGAAGTCCTCGATATAGTGTTTGCCAATTCTGTGTTTAAGGGTGAGATGAGACATTTGCTGACGCACACATTCCAATATAGGTGTCTAACGTACTCATTATAAAAATGGCTACAGCATAATCCATCACCGCTTTGAAAAGCTAAAGGACTAAATGGAGAAAAGATTAAATGCACTAATTAATACTGATAAAAACTTCAAAATTGATGTCCATAACAAGAAATCCATTTAAATATTTCGCAGTTAAGTCTGACAGCCCTTCAGAAACCCATACTGCAGTGGGCCTACTTCTCGTAATTAGCAAGGCACTCTTCAAAGCAGAATTAACAGCATCTTGCGTTCTTGTAGTGTCCTTCACATAGGATAACATGTCAGAGGACTCGAAAGACCAGGGCGAAATGTTGGGCAAGTTTCCTTACTCCACACACGGCTCTGTTTGCCTAGCAGTAAGTAGGAACCCAGCTGTTAATCGATTGGCAGATCACTTTCCCGGGGGTAATAAATCCTTCAAGAATAAATAATAATAAATTGGTCACTCAATCCACGACTGTTTGTGGGGACGCTGCTTTGTGCAATTGGCTGCCGCCTTTCGCCCACAAAATCCACAGTCAATTCACTTTACAGTGTATCCTGCGAAGCGCTTTGAGACATCTCGAAGACGTGATGAGGCGCTGTGTCAAATGCATGGAATATTATTAGGATTATTATTATTATAGGAATGGTTTTGGATTCCAAGTAAGGAAGAAGAGGAAAGCAGCGATGCCTTTGACAAAGAGCCTTTGCAAAATGATTTGGGTAAATCCTGGCTTGCAGCTAAATACTGCCCTCAATTAGCCCTGGTTTGCAATCTCAGTGAAGGCAGGCCATGAGATGTTTCATTTCCCAGCACTACCGTGCTTCATTTTGATGAGAGGAATTTGTAGAGATATCAGTGTGGCAAGCGCTGATGAAACTAAACAACGGCGACGGCAACTTGGATTTATACAGTGCCTTTCACACAGTCACCCTGGGAGATCTTAAACCCCAACAATCGTCAGCGTGGTCAGTACAAAGAGAGGGGAATATTGAAGGGAAGAAAAAATTAGCTACTTACCGAGTATACACAGAGTCCCATGCTCTCATGCTTCTTGTTAAAATGTTTTCTGATTCTTCATAGGTTTTTTCAGTATATCTCACGTCTCGTCAATTCCTGTACCAACGTTCCTGTGACCAACCAGAGGATACTGAAACTTCAATAACTGCTGACAGCTTAAGACAAGTAACTTACCATGTAGTTCCTTAAAAGACAGACTTGGTTAGTCAACAGTACACAATAGCGACATTCTCTGGAACTCGATCTCTGTCTTCAGATTGTGGCAAGTTATAGTAATAGGTAACATAGGAACAAGAGGAGGCCATTCAGCCCCTCGAGCCTGTTCCGCCATTCTATAAGATCACGGCTGATCTGTACCTCAACTCCAATTACCCGCCCTTGCCCCATATCCCTTGATATCCTGACCTAACAAACATCTATCCAGTTCAGTCTTGAAAATTTGAGTAGATCCAGCCATAATCCACAACCTTTTGGGGGAGATTTCCACTGCCTCCTGATTTCAGGTAATTGGTATATAACTGTCTGAATCAAATCTAAATCCTATCTACAAGTTGATTGCCAGTTATATTGGTTTCCACTGCTGCCGACTGCATCAAACCAAGGATTATTTATTATTTATACAAACAGTATATGCTATTCAGTGGAGAGATGTATTCCGAGTGTACCTTTGATAAGAGTCACTCTGTTAGCAATTAGCAGTTGGGGATAACACTCTTTACAGAAATGCTGTTAGGATGCGTCAGATGGGAACATAAATTGAGAAAAATAATTAATTTTCTTCAAACTTTCTGGGGACTCCAACTGTCTCTTTCAGTTCGGAGCGTGGAACAGTCAGGCAAAAGGACTCCCTCGGGTGCTATTCATCAACACACCATAGTATTTCCAGATCACAATCCCACTTGCATCGAATACGCTTTCTCTCCCGCATATTTATTGTGGTAATGTGTGTGTAAAAATTATACTGGACACATACCAGAGAAAACGCACTAAGAAAAGTAACAAGACAAATGCATTGCTAAGACATTTTGCTCCGAGCACGTGTGTAAAAAAAGAAATAAAACTCACAAAAGAAACCCGGCCAAAAAAAAACACTCAGGAAAAACAGGTTTCTATATATAAAGGCACTGTATCAAATGCAAGGATTTTTATTATTATTGGAAGGCAATCGGTTCTCCTGAAATCATGAGGGGAAAGGAATCATCATGACATCAAAAAGAGAGAGAGAGAAAATGAAAGGTTACATAAATTGCACTACAAAGCTTTCAAAACCCAATTTCGGATCAAGACAAGAGCAAATTTTCTTTGAATTCTCCAGCTCTGCACAAGCAACACTAACCTTCCAGCACGATCACCAAAACGAAGTTAATTTACGGCCAAAGGAAGCAATGCCTGCACAAAGAAGAAAAAAAGAAACACTCGTGTTACACAGAGAGCCAAACTCTAACCCGGTGATTGAAAAGGAACAGCGGTTGTTAAAACTGGCAGAACTCCAGAATAATAATTAGAAGTTCCGACTGTGTAATTATCCCCTGTGACTTTAATGAAGAAAGATCACGCGGGGCTGGATGTGAATTCTAAGCTAGAAAGAGCGTCGTGATTTGCAATTAATAAATGAAATAATGCACCGATGATTTGGAAAACTGGAAGAAATTATCAGTTGCATTCAGAGTCCCCGAAATTGTACACGACTCTTGTCCCGATACAGAAATGCTTTGTGAGGCAGACAACTTAAACGTTATGTAGGGAAGTTGAGTGCTCTCTGGACTATTCTATGGTACAAGTCATGAGTTGCCTTGCTCCCTCTCTCCTTGCTTTCAAAACCCTTTTAAAATGATATGACGTTAGTGGCTAAAGTGCTGACTGAATCTTTGGCAGCAACACAGAATTCGCTTGATCAGCCCAGTGAGGTGGTCCTGCCTTCTAACTGCAAAATCCATTGACCTCAGTACAAACCTGCCTCCAAATCTCAACATACAGTCGAGCTCCATTAAATCCCAGAGGCTGGGTCCTTAAAATTCTAACCAGTGGTTATAACGGAGGTACAATCGCTGGTCATGACTTCCGCATTCACTGTGCATAGGCACAGGAAGTCGTCTCGCTTAAGAATGTATGGCCAAGTTGAATATTTCCATGACCCAGTCTTAGAGAAATTAATCCTTTTTTTGTTACCTTCAGTCAGTTTGCCAGCCTGTTCAGCAGCTCCACCGGGCAACATCTTGGAAACAAAGGCCCCAATCTCTCCCTCCTTTTCCGCTGCTGGCTTTGAACCTATTACCCCAAAGAGAGAAAGACTCTTATTCAATATTCATTGCTGAATAATCACTTGCTTTCTTGCAAGACCATTCAGTGCCAAACGCTTTCAAATATTTATAGAAGGTAGTTTGGAACAGCGAGTTGCACACTAGACTTTCGTCTCTTTTAGTTTAAATTGAGTCTTGACTGATGGGACAATTGATTCCTCTTTCTGCAAGTTTCGCCACAAAATATACAGTCAATTCACTTTACATTTTACGGTATGTTCTGTGAAGCGCTTTGAGACGTCTAAAAGACTTGATAAGGCGCTATATCAAATAGAAAGATTATTATTATTATAAGTTGTAAGAGTCATAAGTAAAATAAGTTTGGAACTGTCTGAACTAAGTTCCCGCGAGACATGCTTTCACAGTACAAAACTGTCTTTAAATCAGCATTAAATCACCATCCTCCCTCATTCCAAAGCCACAGGATGTTTAGCACACATTCATATTTGAATAATGGTGCATTTAAGATTGAAGCTGAGGCTTTTTGTTGGAGCAGAACAACCGAAACAACCATTTTTTTCTTTCAACAATTCAAAGTAACATTGATGTAATATTTGAAATGCAACCAGATTCTTCTCCAGCGCTCCAAGACGCTACCCCACATGAAGGTTGCTATATAAATGCAAGGTGTTGTTACTTATTGGAGAGATTGCCAGGACTGACTATAGGAACATAGGAACAGGAGTAGGCCATTCAGCCCATCGAGCCTGTTCCGAAATTCCATAAGATCATGGCTTTTATTTCCCTCTATTTTATTTCCTTTTCCTCTAACCAGAGACTCTAGTACAAAAATATACCCTTCACGGGGGCAGAATTATAGAGAGGTTCTGCTGGCATAACACATACCTGCTAGATTGGCAGCCGGCTGTGGGGTGGCCGGTTGTTTTACTGGAGGCTTTGCTGCCGCGGTTGTCCGTGCAGTTGGTTGGCCTGGCTTAGCAGCGAGTGTCTGAGGAGCAGGTGTTGGCTGACCAGGCTTTGCAGCGGTGGTTTGAGGAGCTGTCTGGCCTGGTTTTGCAATGGGTGTCTGAGAAACCGTCTGGTCTGGCTTTGGAATGGGTGTCTGAGCGATCGCCGGTCCGGTCTTTTCAGCTGGTGACTGAGCAGTTACCTGCCCTGGCTTTGCCTGCTGATAAGGGAAGATAAAATAAGACAAGATCATCATCATCATCAAGAAATCAAATGTTTCAGAACTCTGCGTTCATTACGATGTCGAATGTCAGTCTTGCGGGACATATTATTTTCTTCAAAGACAAGGACAGCATTAGTTGCCGGACGGATACTCAATATCCTATCTCAAACAACAACAACTTGCATTTACACACCGTCGTAGGCACTGGGTCGAAGAGGAAGGTCTTCGGGTGGGATCTGAAGATGGGGAGGGAGGGAGGGAGGGAGGGAGGGAGGAAGGAAGGAAGGAAGGGGCAGAGGCATAGTGTTCCAGAGTTTCAGGGCGTAGTGGCTGATGGTGGGACGGAGGACATGAGGGACGCTCACTAAGACTAAAGAGCAGCTTACCGTGGCGGTGGTGGGTTTGGTCGGTTGCTGGCGTGCCTGGGGCTGAGACGCTGGTTGCCGGGCTCCTTGCTGCGGAGGCTGTTGTTGCTGTTGCCGCTGTGGTTGCCGCGGTTGTTGCTGGGCCTGGGGTGGCTGCTGGGCTGGTGGCTGCTCTGGAGGCAGATGCCGAGCCTGTTGCTGGGACGGTGGGTACCGTTGCTGCTGCTGCTGCTGCTGTTGTGCTTGACTTGGCCGGGCCGCTCGCTGTTCCTGCTGGGACCTCGCTGGCTGCTGAGGAGACGGATGTTCGGAGTGTTTTCTGGCCGTTGGTGGCTGTTGTTGTTGTTGTGGTGGTTGCTGCTGAGCGTGCCTCTGTGACCGCTGCTGTTGCTCCGTGTCCTGATAATGGCTGGCCGCGGCCCGGGGCTGGGTCCACTCCGAGGAGCTCGGGTAAGGCTCTCGGATGGCTCTCTGCTCCGGGGGTTGGCTTCTCCTCTGCGGAGGCTGTTGGGAATACTGCCGGGACTCCGGGCGGGACTGGTCTTTCGGGTGTTGCCTCGACGACTTGCGTGAAGGCTCCTCGGCTTGGTGCCGCGAGGGATGCCTGGGGGCTTCTCCGTACTGATACGCGGACTGCTTCTGTTGCTCCCTGGTGGAGTAGCGGGACTGCGAGCGGTCAGCCGGCTGCCAAGAGTCGTCCGGTGGCTCATCGTAGTCACGGCGCGGGTGGGTCCTGTGACTACTTTTCCGCGACGAAGACTGGCTACTGTAATGCCTGGAACGCTCCGACCTCGATTCCTTTGGCTTCTCAAACCAGTCTGTCTCCTCCTGGCCTAGATGATAGGCTCAAAAACCAAAGAAGACCACAGTCACGCTGCTTTCCTGGCATGCCTCGTGGTACCCAGACCACAGCCATGCGAAAGGTTTCACGGGCAGGCAGACCGTCACATGCAGGGCATTCCCACGATCGTATATGACTTAACACAAAGAGGGGGTTAAAAAAAAAAATACACACATCACCAGACACAACACCAACGAAAACAATGTGCATCATGCTGAAAACTCTTTTTTTTTAAAAAAAGCGAAAAGGATAATTGCATACAAATGGATAAAAGGCACATGCCAACCAATTAATCAATCAATCAATCAGGTTTTAAACCTTGTAACAGCTAACAGTCTGTTTTGTACATGCACAAACTTGCACTGTGGAGAGAAATGTGTGTTTCCTTGTTGAAAGTTTTTGCGTCGAGCCGGTGAGATCACCAGTGGGGTTCATTACCTTCGCTGTCGGATACAGCGCAGTGCAGATCATCCACAATATAATCGTCCTCCTCTTCGTAGGCGTAGCTGTGAGATACCTCTTTGGCATCCTGGACGTCGGGCAGTGAGTGGCTCGAGCCGTACTGGGATCTGCTGTCTATGGCACTTGATGGGAGGGCTCCTCCCGATCCCCGTGCCGCACCCACTGGCTTCCCCATGGGGCTCAACGGGCTTTCCTCTTCGGATCCTTGGGTCCTCACTGGAGCACGACCACGACTTTGACCGGCTGATGGCTTAGAACCCCTCTGGGATCTATCTGTGGCGTCTCTTTCATACGATTTACTTCTTGGACTGGCTGGATCCTTGCCCGATCGTTCCATTCCGTACATGGAGGACGATCTTGATCTGCCCCCGTTATTGTACGTTCTATCAGAATCTTCCACCATGCCTCTACTACCGTGACCAGAATATCTCTGTTGGTCATAAATATTCTTCTTCAGACCGTACGTTATCTCATCCTGAAGCTTCTTTGCCCTTAGGATGACGTTGTTACCCGAAACGGAGGTCGTAACAGTGTAAGAGGCGAGGTCGGACTCCACATCTCTGGCTTCCTCGATCGGCGAGAACTTGGAGATTTTCTGTTCAACGTTTTGCTTTCGGTGTTTGCTGCGCTTGGAGGACACAACGGCAGGAGCCATTTGTTTGGACGAGTGCTTTTGCATAACAGGGGAAGAAGTGTGCTTCTCTGTGCGAGAGGAATATTTGGGATTGGTGTCTGCATAATAGTATGAGGATCCACTTGAGCTACTCGCTGCTCTTCCATGGCTATCCGAATTCCTTTGGTAACCATTTTTCCCTCGATAGTCTGATCCCTGCTGGTCATACATCTCTTCCTCGGATTCATCTTCAACCTTGCTATATGTGTGAACTCTACTGGAGTTAGCGCTTTCCGTCAAGTCATTCTTGTCCTTTGCATATCTTCCATTACTGGGCTGAGTGGGTTGTTCTGCCTTCTGGCTTTCTGTGGCAGAGGAATTCTCTTTGGTCAGTTCACTGATATCATCGATCATAACATAATTGCGGGCAACACTGTGCTCCAAGTTTGTGTACAGAGATTCGGATGAATAACTAGTCGAAGGGCTCTCCACTGTACTCACGCTCTCAGTCACTCTCATCTCTGTGTTCTTGTATTGGTCATAGTTACTGCTCGCTGTGGTCGTGTAAGTCATCTCAGCTGGAGTTGGAGAAATGATTACAGCCGGGTTACCAATCACTTCGTAATTGGTGGGAATCTTTTGTTCAAGGTCTGCTAGTGATGTCTGTCTTGGTTTCTGGTGCACCTTCAGAACATCTGCCGGTTGTTGGTACTGAGCGTTAGACAGAGGCTGATAGGGGGCCTGATTCGGAAAGTTGGGCTGATTCGGAAAGTTGGGCTGATTCGGAAAGTTAGTCTGATTCGGAAAGTTGGTCTGATTCGGATAGGCGGTAGGTGCTTGGTACTGGTTAGGAGGTGGAAATCCAGCTGGGTTCTGTAAACTGTTGTCAGTCTGGTAGTTTGTACTCTGGGTGAATCCGTGCGGCTGATAAGCATTTTGGGGATGAAAGTTGGGATGCATCTGAAAGTTGTTCTGCGCCTGGTAAGTGTTGGGAACCTGGTAGTGAGTTGACTGATAACCTGCTCCATGTTGGTAGTTAGTTGGGACCTGAGGAGTGGTTTGGGACGGAGGGTACTGGAATGAGGTGTATGACGATGTGGTGGGATACTGTGGGGCTGAATATTCACAATACTGATTAATCGGGGCGGTACGTGGCCTGGCAAGAAGATTGTTGCTGTCATATTGGGCCATTCGGATGTTATTAACTTCGCTATCTGACATGTAGTCCCTGTCTTCTCCCATGTACCGTACGTAACCCACTTCTCGTTTATCTGGGTCTTTTCCCAAAGTTTCTTTTCTGCGATTGATTCCTCGCTCTATGTAACGGAGTTTCGCATCAATTTCTTTCTCCTCCTCGTCAAGCTCTGCCTGTTTCTTTTGCAGTTTGTTTGATTCCTGCTCTACCTTCTCGAGTTCGTGACTAATGTCCTTGAGGAGTTTATCTCGGGTCAACTGATCAGGTAAAGCACCTCGCTTGCGAGGTAGGGAGGTGCCGAACAATTGAGGATGAGGGGGTAAAGAACCATGGATATCGTCAGGTGGTGGACTAGGCAGAGTTCTCTTCACTTTCTTCATAATATTCTGCTGTAAATTTCCAATCTGAAAAAGAAAAGTAATAGGACATTTTGTGTAAGTTGAATGAAACGTATTATGTTGCTTATGAATTAAGAACATAAGAAATGCGAGACGATAAAAATGAAGACCAAGGTCCATCTAGTTCGGCTTCCACCTTCCTGGCTGTCGCATGCACATATGTCCAGATCTACCCATGTACTATATCTCATAATGTTGTTTCCTAAAAGAAAACTATCTAATCTGAATTTGAAGGAATCAACACTTCCTGCTTCAACCGTGTCCCCAGGGAGTCTGTTCCACGAGAATTGCACCACATAGAAATCTTTCCAATTATTTTTTTTCCCCCCGTGTGAATTATTTTTGGATGGAAACCCAACAAACATTGCATCGAGGAAACAATTTTACCGATTAAACTAAAACAAGCATGGTGTAAGATGATCTAAGTGAGATTGCACCTAATGTGATTACTCCTTCACTGCTAACACTGTTGGCAACAGTTCCCCATTTTGTTCAAAACATTTATTTTCCCTAAAAAAATCCTTAACTCTTTTTAATAATTCTTGCAATTGATACGGCGCCTTTTCACATCTTCGAGACGTCTCAAAGCGCTTCACAGAATATACTGTAAAGTGAATTGACTGTATATTTTGTGGGCAAAACGCGGCAGCCAATTGTGCACAACAGTGTTCCACAAACAGTCGTGGATTGAAGTGACCAAATTATATTCATGAAGCCTAAATCCATCATCATTCTGGGGAGTATTTGTTCTCATATCTGGGGGACTCTTTGATATTCATGGAGAGAACATAAGAAAAGTCTTCATATCTGATGGGTGATCTCACTTTAGCTTCCAACTTTCGCATTCCATCACAATTTTTTTAAATCTCTATGGTTTCTGCTACACTTATTGCTCCTCTGAACATTGTTCTGAAACTTTAAACATTGCACCCACACACTCTCTTGCATCACTAGGTTCAAATCAGAACTCATTTCACTGTCTCTTCCTCTAATAATTCATTCTGCCCCAAAATCTCACGACCGTAAAACGCCGATCTTCCAAAGCATCGCCTGACCAGTACAATAATGCTCTTTTGATTTACTGCAGTGATTCTCAATTCCGCAATCATCCCAAATATAATGCACGTTACTCTGAAGTAATGCACATTTAACACTTCTTTACAAACAGAAATGATTTAATATCTCCAGTACATTCCATGACTACAGTGTTCGTTGGTATGGGAACTGCTGTTTATGGCACAGTCGTTAACACTAAAACTTTATGGAATATCTCTTATTAACATGCATCCTCTCCGTAATATGTTGTTCAGCGCCTTGGGACCTCCTCCTGACGTGAAAGGTGCTATACAAATGTAATCTTGTTATTGTTGCTGTTTATGACATTTCTATTAATACAGAATCTGCATAAAAACATAACAACAATTTGCATTGCTATAGCACCCTTCACACACAGCGGCAACTTACAGCATTTAGAAAGACTTTTGCACATTCCTTCAATAGAACATTTCGATATCAGAGACCAAGTTTATAACTCTGAGTAATAGAGAAACCACATTCTGGTGTTCATAGCTGCTATATCAATAATGAACCCATATAAACAAGCTTCTTGCCAGAGCCACTTGTTTATGACTTCTAAGCACGTTATAGAACAGTTCTAATATTCTTCTGGCAGTCTTGTAATAACATTTAAAATGACAATAATTACTGAAATGTTTAAACATTGAACTTTACCTCTAGTGCATCATAATACATCTATTTATTTATCTCGGGCATTTCCACGTGTAATAATAATAATAATAATAATAATCCTTGCATTTGATATAGCGCTTTTCACTTCGGGAGGACGTCCCAAAGCGCTTCACAGAACACACTGTAAAGTGAATTGACTGTATATTTGTGGGCGAACGCGGCGGCCAATTGCGCACAGCAATGTCCCACAAACAGTCGTAGATTGAAAATGACCAATTTAATTATTGTTTTGGTTTTTTGGAGGGATTATTATTAGGCTCTGTGTCGAGTAAGGAAACTTGCCCGAGGTTTCGCCCTCTGCCAGGAATTGAACTCAGGTGTCTCACTTGCAAAGCGAGTGCTCTAACCACTGAGCTACAGGACTCCACAAAGGTGTAGGTGGGATGCATGGAAATCTCAGTTGGATTTGGATATTCTTAAGCACGGTGATGGGTTTCCGTACGTGTCAGACACTGACCCGGCTGACCAAAAAGAAGACATGAATACAATTCTTTTTGTACTTCTTATTAACTAGCAAATATACCAATTATTGGTTTTACAATAAAAATCTAAACACAAGCCCTTTTATTATACCGAAAACAATTACCATTTAATAATGCTGGATGAATAGTGGTCTTTCTTCACCCTAGCATGATGATACACAGTAGGCAATTCACTTTAAGCAAGCTAACAAGGTTTTGTACCAGTACTTAATTAAGTTTCGACATAAGTCACAGAATGCTCAAACCCCATGAAAATCTAAGTAACTCACATACTCTGTTCAGTGCATTGATCACTAATCCTTAAATCATCTGTGAAGTTAGTTTTTATCGATTTTCACAATAAGTACATGGATTTGTCTCCAACAATGCCTCGTTCAGCAACGAACGCCGTGATCAGCACAGTGTACTGATGGGAGTGATCACTAACACTGCAGTGATCCCCAATGCTCAACTAAACACTGATTCTTTCTCACTCTTTATTTTCAATATTTCAGCAGTTTGAGTCAAGATTCCCCAGAGATAAACTGAAGAGCCTCACGAATGGTAATAGCGAAAAAATAATTGCCAAACTCACTAATATTTAAGACTCGCAAGCTTTTTCTTTGGCTACTGTAGTTTGGCCTCTTCATGTGAATCAGAACAGCCATCCATCAAGCAGGCTGGCTATGCATCAAAACCAAATCCATCCTACCTTGCCTGACACATAAAAACACACACACACATACAGGCTTTTCAATGGTAACTGAGCAGCGAGACAGAGATACAGACAAAGTGTTGTTCGTACAGCGATCATTGATCTCGTTCTCTACTGAAATATATACGGTCATTGCAAGTTCCCTTGTCACAGCTGATTATGGAGTGCTATTGCGAAAATAATTGAAACAGCCAGAACAACAGTGGAGGAAAATAAGTATTTAAAAACAAAGCGACAAACAATAAAAGTAAGCGACGCTACTTTACAGCGCAGTCGACTTCGAATAAACAGTAGTACAATTCTCGGACACATTTCCCAATCACTTAGTATAAAATATTCCCTGTTCCCCTGGTGGTTCAATAGGTAAATGGTGCGTGTTGAGGCAAGGAACTGGGAAAGTTCCAAGTTCTAGCACTGGTCTGTACTGAGTTTAGTTCATCTCAGCTGGAGACCGGAAAATAACTGGCCTCAGCATCTCTGTCTAGGCTGAAATGTGAAGAGTAGGCATTTTGGCAAAGTACCAGGGGACTCTGGTTCTTGGAGAAGTTCTACCCAACATGAATCAGCAGCTTTCAGAAATGAGATGAGAGGGAAAATGGGAGGACACATTCTCCTGTTCTCCAGCTTTTAATGCTCAGCGAAATGAATTGCAACAGTTTTTAGCCAAATTTAACTTCAACCATTTTAGCTTATCTCAATATCCGTAGGGAACACCACAACATCTTATCAAAAAGCTTTGCGCACATTAAGTAATTAAAGCATTCGTCTGATCTGCATCGGAATTGGCACTCATAACTTTCAGATTAATCACACCAAAATACTGAAAGTTACTTAGAATAGGACCTAATTATGCCAAATTCCTAAAGATGTGGGCCAAATCTCAACAAGTTTGGATGGGTTTAAGTTTGGACTCCATTTAGAGCTTGTGCATGCATGTTTATCTTACAAAAAAATGATATCAAATTAATAGTTTAAACTTCAGACTAGTATTGGTTTAATGTCCCTTCATCTATGGGATTTGGATTCAAACCCAGACCAGATTTATTGGACAAGTCTTTGTTGGCTGTAAGGGTCCCACATGGAATTATATTATGTTATACATTATGTAGGTGCCAATTTGCACGCAGCAATGTCTCCACAAAAAAGCCATGAAATGAATGACCAATTTATTTAGAGGATGGCTAGCCAGGATACACCAGAAGAAACTTCCTTCTTTTTTCAAACAGTGTTTAGGGAAACATCCACCTAACATGGCAGAAGGGACCTCAGTTTATCTTCTCTTAAAAGATGGCGTCTCTAATGATGCCAACACTCCCAAATGAGCTCAAAGTCCTAACATGTGGCTTGAACCCAGAACTTCCTTTCCCAGAAGCGAGAGTACCTCTAACAGAGCCAGGCTGACATCGGAAACTAACACTGGTGCGGGTCGGGAACACTTTTCTAAAGTTTGGGCTGTGACGCATTTGTTGGGAGCAGGGTAGAAGGAGCCTGGCTGCACAATACCTAACCTGACAGTGCGTAATGTGGGTATAGCGGGTGCCTGAAAAGGGGAAACGTCCCATTTCCCGATGCTAAAAAAAAAATGACCACAAAAAATAATATTTTTTGAAAAAGAAAATCTGACGTCCATTTTTGTCAACTTAAACATGTCCAAATTCCAAACTCGTAGTTTGATTGGACCCACCTCAGTCCTCGGTCTGAGACTTGGACCAATTTGGAGCCCTCAGCAGAAAATGGCTCCACGCTCAAATCTCGCACACTTCAAAAATGCTTCTGTCCTCTCGTGGTCAGCAGCCCCTCCTGTGGGCAACCGCTTTCCCCATACTTACCTTGGCTGCTGCATGAGATCTGGCAGAAGAGATCACAAACAAAAAATGAAAGGATTAAAAAAATTGAGGAAAACGATGGTGTTTGTGCAAGCATATATCTGCATCGTGTTTCTGCATGCACAGTCTCCCCACCCCTTTCGATTTTTTTAACCCTTTCTTTTTGAGATACGATTTCTCCTGAAAGTCAGCATGTAGCAGTCAACGTTGGGTAGAAACCATCGGGGGGGGGGCTGTGTCAGCCGTTTTTGTTTCTTTTACCTGGTGAGTCGTAAAAGCTGCCCTGGTACAAACAAGCTGCAGAGAAGAATATAGATGTGTTACTCATACAGCATCCTATTCGCCGGTTAAGGAACCTTATTTCTGCACTCAGACTTGTGGTGTTACTCTCTCATAAAACGTTTACAATTCTCACACTGCCATTGCATCACACCTGGGGCAAAAACAAAGCAGAACAGCAAGAGCATTGAACTATTAGCTGGGAAATCACAAGAAATCACAAGATGTTCTGGTGTTAAAACACAAATAAAATACAAATACATAGACATGCGACAAACTGTCCTGTGTTTTTTTTCTTCACAATCCATACACCTAGAAGTAAGTAGGAACCCGGTTGTTAGTTGATCGGCAGATCACTTTTCCGAGGGTAGTAATCCCTTCGAAATAATAATAATTTGGTCACTCAATCCACGACTGTTTGTGGGACGCTGCTGTGCGCAATTGGCTGCCGTGCTTTGCCCATAAATTATACAGTCAGTTCACTTTACAGAATGTCCTGAGAAGCGCTTTGAGACGTCTCAAAGACGTGATAAGGCGCTGTATCAAATGCAAGGATTATTATTATTGTTATAAAAGATAACTTCTTAGTTTTCTACAATTCTTCAATACGGACACTGATTCCAGCTGGAGTTACACCCTTATGTGAATGTGAGGACAGCCAATTGACTCGTTGGCTCTTCACCAGTAATAAATCTTTGAAGCCAATCCACTTAGAATTTTGCTTAAGAAACTTGCTTCGCACCAGTTTTAACCACTCCACAGGGAGTGAAAATCTGAAGAACTGTTCTGCTGAAAGGTCTCTCACCACTTGTTTAAACTGATATCAGGATCAACTAAACCTGCAAAAGTTTAGGCCTGTTTAATACTGACACACATTGTGCATACAATTGGCTTATAAATACTGCAGAGCCAATCATGCACAACAGTAGAGAATAAAACTGTCCTCTACACAATCACAATTGCAAGCTTTACCTTAAACCAACAGAGAAACCTCACACAGATTTTGCAGCCGATGGAGTTCTTGCCTCGGGTTATCAGCTGAAACTCTGTCCCTCGAGTAAACAAGTTGAAATCCATAGTCGACTACTTGATTACAAAAAATATGTATTGGAATATGGGAGATTTGTGATTCATCCCACGACAAGCAATTAAAGTGAGTGAGTTTTCTCCTGACCTCCACACAAGTATTCTATCCATCTGAATAATTTCACTAAGTCATTTTGTATGCATTCTCAGCAATAACAGAGTCCAATACATGAGGCATGCGCACTCATGACAATTCAGCTGCTTCTAGTTGTACTGTCGAGATGGCAATCAGTTCACAAAGAAATCTACTGGGTTGAAAATGTTGAAGTGCTGCAGTAATTCTGATCCCCTGAGGTTGTAGTTAAGATGCATTGGTGGGCAGGTTTGAGAAGTTTTACTCTGCATCTCAGTTATCTCACAGGTAACCTAGGAGTGTGATAAATATGGACTCTGCTGCAAAACACACAAAAAAAATATTCTCTGCCCTGACACTGTTATGCCCAATGATAAAACTGATCATTAAAAAAGAAACGTGGTCACTCAATTCACGGCTGTTTGTGGGGACGCCGCGGAGCGCAACTGGCTGCCGCGTTTCGCCCTCAAAACTCGCAGTCAATCCACTTTACAAAATATCCTGTGAAACTCTTTGAGACGTCTCGAAGACATGATGTCTCGTGCAAGCGAATGAATAAATGAAGACAATCAATGTGGTGTTTGAAGCAGGATTGTTCACTTGGTGCCAGTGTGCTGAGATCTAAGTTCCTCGCACTAACCCGGTCCATCTGTACTTTTACACAACGGAAACGAGTTGACACGGAGCACCTCGTCCTCTGTCAGAAATCAGGCTGATCACTTTCTTGTGAAGGATCCGTTCACGTGAAGGATCATGTTCCTGCTGTGAAGATAGGCCACTGTTCACTGTCGGATAACTGGGCAGGCGACTTGAATTTATACATTTCTTAATTCCAAGGACAATATTGGATAAATTCCAGCAGGCGAACGCAGAAAGATTTGATGTCAGATAATGTTTTCTTTTTTGTTCCACAGGTTCAGTTGCGCTCAGATATTCTAGTCAGGTAGACATCTGCCCTGGAACCATCCAGTAAGTGAGAAGCAATACATTCAATCTGCCTGGCGTGTGATTGAACTCGGTGCCAGGGAAGTTAGGGAGCAGAATAGGGTCTGGCCCTCAAGCATCAACAACACAAGGGAAGGAGATTCCCAAGTCAGGAGCATGGAATGATCCACCCTACTCAAGAAACGGCATCTTGTTAGCTTTTGGGTACGTGCCCTTCTGTTCCTCTCCTGCTGTGCCTTCTTATGCTGCATCTTGCATTCCCCCAAACCCTACCAGCTCTGTCAATCTTTCAGACAGTAGGACATCACCCTGAAGGACATCACCCCCAGCCATGCAATGCACTGGAGGGTCAGCCTAGATGATGAGTTCAAAGTCCAAAGGCTTTCAACCATCTTACTTACTCACTTCCCTGTCTGAAAAGGATGCCCTTCAGTGAAGTTTTATCATTTAAATTCCTTAAAGCAGTAGAAGTCTTTATATAGAAGAATAGAACCAAGAGAGAGATAACAACTACCTTTTAGATGAACCCTGCTTCAACACAAAGAAGTATGACAAGTCTAACCCACTAGACAAAGATCCCAGACACCTCACTCAGGCTTCCAACGTTTTCAGACGACAGATTCCATTCATTTGCATCCTACCTGATTTCACTACACACTTGCTTCTCCATGAAGTAAAGCTACTCGTCGAGATACTGTGCAGCGCATTGATGGCAAATACTCTTTGATTTCTCCCGGTTTGAATTGACAGATAATTATTTTCTTCTTCTGATGCTAAAGTGTCTTCTTTTCTTTTTTTTACCGTTTGTATTCTTCCCCGAATCACACACAAAAAAATCCAACCGCAAGGAAAACATTCACAATCTCTTTGCCTTAACGGTTTTCAGGCAAGCAATCAAAGAGAGAGAGAGAGAAAGAAAGAAAGAAAGAAAACAGGCATGAAAGAATTGAGGACTCCAGAGGCAAAAAAAGAGCAAGGTAACAACTCTAACCCTTCACTTATTAATAGAATGTGAAACTAGAGATCGAGATTACAGCTTTGAAAGCACTCTTAATGTATCTGTCATCTATTATACACACTGCAGAGTTGCTGGGGCAGTTTTATTTTAACTCATTTTTGCCATCAATAAATGTTACATGAGAAACTGATAACCAGGAATTCTCCATTAGGTTAATGAGCGATGACCTCCGTGCTGAAGGATTCAAACTATTGGGATGGAATTGCAGCAAATTTATCAAGTAATAATGCAGTTGCTTACGAGGCAAAAAACCACAGAAAAATACACAAAAAACACACCAAAAATGCAAGGCACAAGTTGTGTACATATTACTTAAAGTATTATTGGGATTCCTCACCACCATTTTTGTCTAAGTTACTTACCTCCGTTTGACTCCTCTTTCACCTGCTTTCCATTACACTATGATTTCGGGGGCATTATCAACTCAAAAAGGTGTAGAAACCAGACAAGAGTCTCAATCCAACCCTTTTCCAGGAATAGCTATATATATATATATATAAATAATACAAAAAATTGCCAAAGCAGATCATGGTGAATTGCCACTGATTTTCTGACCTTCCCAATGGAGGCTGAGACTTCTCAGAGTGTCCTCTTGTGATGGTTACAACCAAGATAAGAAAGTTCTTGTGAAAGGATTCACAAGAACAAGTATATGTCTCAATTACTCTGAGGTCCTATCTAGCATCACAAACCATGGATGCAGTATAGATACAGATATAATAGCGACTGATTGCCATCTTGCCCAAAAGAAGGTAAAATATCTGAATGAAAACATTCTTATAAACTACGGATATCACATGTTCAGCTCATACTTTGATCTCAGGAGTCGAGTGGAGTCTGGAACTCTAAGTGAATTCTGAGGATTCATTGAGGACTCAAGGATTTAACAGCTGATATCAACCCAATACTCCAGACCTGAAATCAGTTCTAAAAGACTCTGGAAAGAACATCTTGAACAGCAGAGTTTTGTCACCAGTATTTACTCGTGTTACAGTGTGGCTATTCGCACATTTAACCACGGTCTATTCTCAACCGACAGTGAGGACACGGTTGAACTCAGTAATGTTCAACAACCTGTCCCTCAGTACCACAGATGAGACGGTTGCAATTCTTTTGTCGCCCCACCCAAACCCATATTTTCTGTCCCACCTCAATCCTGGCACGTCCATACCTGACTACCATGCTGTCCTTGCTGCTGATGAATGAAGAACCTCTGCTTCCCGGCGTCCTCCGAGGTTGGGCTGATGGGCTTGGGGTCGGACATGGAGCGTTGCATCACCTTGATGGGCCGCGGCAGAGTCTGCTGTCGTTTGGGTGACTCTGTGGTGAAGTGTTTCTGCGGAGTCACGTGGGCCTTGTTCAGCTTCTCGTAGGAGGTGAAAGACGACTCCAGGAGCCGGTGTGGGGAGAGGGGCGAGACAGGAGAGTACAGGACCTGCGGCGATTTCGGAGGCTGACGGGTCATTTGAGGCAGGGGCTCGGGTGGAAGGTGAGACTGATAGCCGATTTCCAAAGGATCCGGTTTCTTTTTCTCAAACTTGGGGACAACCATAATTCCCTGCTGTCTGGCGGTGGCTTGATCCAGGGGACCAGACGTCACTATCTGTATGTTAGTCGAGTAAGGATTAACAGGAGTCGGAACAGAAAGCTGAGGGACAACAATTCCTTGCGATTGCATTTCGGGCTCGGTCTGGCAAGCGAGACTCTCTCCCTTCTGGGTCTTCTCAGGAGCTGATATGTACCTGATAATCTCCACCCTTGGGTCGGGCGTGATGTGAATGGCTGGAGATATTGAGCCCAGCTGATACGGTTCTGTCTGTACAGAGCAATCGCTGGTTGTCTGGATGGCAATGCTGGAAGTCGCCTTCAGCGGCTCGCGCTTGTGCTCGGTGCTGGAATCCGAATGCTTGGAGAACCTGGAGCGTCGCCTCCGGACGGGCTGCTCCCACTCCCCGTTGTCCTCGTCGTCGGTTTGGACGCTGCAGTCCACGCTTCGCTTGGTTCTCCTGCGACGGGCCACGTAGTAGCATTCTTCGCCGTCCTCGTCGTCGGTCTGCACGCAGCTGTCGGCGATCTTCTTCACCACGTACTGGCCTCGCTTCGCACCGTCCTCCTCCTCCTCGTAAGCGTCGCGGAGTCTGGGCATCGAGTTCCTCTTCCTGATGCCCCTGAGTTCCGGGTGCTCCTCGTTCCGGAGCGACGTCTCGGAGGCAGAGCCGGGGAGTGGACGCTGCGGCGAGTCTGCGGCGGGGGCTCTGTGCCGCGGGGACAAATGCAACGCCGGTTGCTCTTGAACGCTCGGGGGGGCGGGGGGGGCTTCGGCGTACGGCGGTTGGCTTACGGGCCAGTACTGGCCGTTTTGAGCCATGGTCCTCTGCATTTCGATGGCCATTTCCGACATGGTCTGCGGCGTGATTCTGCCTTGCGGCGGCGGGTCGCAGGCCGCCATTACGTTGTTGCGGACTTTCTGCTCCTCGAGCTGCTGGTGCAGCTGCTGCTGGAGGTGCTGAATCTGTTCCAGCTGCAGGCGCTGCTGCGCCAACTGCTCTCGCTGCAGGGCGAGCTGGGCCTGCCTCTCCTCTTGCTGCTGGTGCATTACCTGGTGCTTGATGGTCTGCAGCTCCTGGAGTTCACGCTGCACCAGGATTTGCTCGTTCTCCCGGTGCCGCTGCAGTTCCAAGCGCTGCCGCTCCAGCTCTTCCTGGAGCCGCTGATGCCTCAGTTTCTCGAGCTCCACCCGCTCCCGCTCGACGAGCAGGCTGTGCTCGTGCTGCTGCTTCTGCTGACGCTCTTCCTCTTTCTCCTCTTGCTTGCTGCTGCCCGCCGCGCTGATTCGACCAGCGCCGGCCCTCTCGAACCCACCGGCTTGGGCTTCTTGCTGCTGCTGTTGCTGCAACTGTTGCTGCTGCTGGAGTTGCTGTTGCTGCTGTTGCAGTTGCTGCAGTTGCTGCTGCAGTTGTTGCTGGTATTGTAGCTGCTGCTGCTGCTGCAGTTGCGATGGTTGTTGCTGCAATTGCGGTGGTTGTTGCTGCATTTGTGGGGGTTGCTGCTGCTGCTGCTGCTGCTGTTGTTGCAATTGCTGTGGCTGCTGCATTTGTGGTGGTTGCTGCTGCTGCAATTGCGATGGTTGCTGTTGCTGCATTTGTGGCGGTTGCGGATTCTGCACGTGTGGCGGCTGCTGTTGCAATTGCTGTGGCTGCTGCATTTGTGGTGGTTGCTGCTGCTGCAATTGCGGTGGCTGTGGGTGCTGCAATTGCGATGGTTGCTGCTGCTGCTGCATTTGCGGCGGCTGCGGATTTTGCACGTGTGGTGGTTGCTGTTGCTGCATCTGTGGTGGTTGCTGCGGCTGCTGCTGCTGCTGCTGGGGCTGCTGCGGAATCTGTGGCGGCTGCAGATGCTGCATTTGCGGTGGTGGCGGGTGCAGCTGCAACTGTGGCTGCAAGGGTGGTGGGGGTTGCTGCTGCTGTAAATGCAGTTGCTGCTGCAGTTGCTGCTGTTGATGTTGTTGTTGCTGCTGCAGTTGTTGTTGATGTTGTTGCTGCAGTTGCTGTTGATGTTGTTGTTGCTGCTGCAGTTGCTGTTGATGTTGTTGTTGCTGCTGCAGTTGTTGTTGTTGTTGCTGCTGCAGTTGTTGGTGATGATGTTGCTGCTGCTGCAGTTGTTGTTGATGCTGCTGCAGGATGCCGACATGCTGCTGCGCCTTCGCCTGACCGCCCTCTGCGGCGTATTTCTGAGCCATGGCGTTTTGATGCAGAACCCCACTTTGTTCTTGCCTCTGCACCGCCGGGATTGCATTGATCCCTCCAGTGCCGGCGTTACTCAGGCCAGCTGTACCAGGAATGCTTATTGCAGGCTTTCCTAGATACACGGGAGACTCCCCTACGGAGGTCGGGGTGGTGAACTGGCCGGTAGGGGGGAATCGGTAGAGACCTTGACCTGTAACCGGCATTCTCGGGGTAACGAGAGGAACTCTGGTCAAGCTCGACAGTGGCACGGGAGTGACGTTACCCGGCATGTAGGGTCTGTAGACACCCCTCAGCATAGGACGTAAGATGGAAGCCGGCTGGGTGGTGATCGGGAGAGTGGAAGCTATGGGAGTACTGATAGTGGAGTAAATCATGCCGTCTGGGGCTCTTACGGGAGTGGCTTGAGGATATATGCGGCGAATGGCTCCCACGCGCACCACGTGCGGCACGGTGCCAAGACCCTGAGCCGCCAAGCGACGTCGGGGGTCGGGGAAGTTCGGATTAAACATTAGGTCGGGTTTCACCGAAGCCAAGCCTTGCTGGTTTGACGTCGTGTGGTTACCTGAAAGTCCGCCGCAGTGCGGATTGGGTCCAGCCGAGCCGTACGGCAATGCGTCCGAACGGTTTGTGTACCGGTTCCCGTAATGATCCATGGAATTCAGAGCTGCACACATTCTGCTAATCTCCCGAGCTGTGGTCGCACTGTAATGGGCCAAACTAGCCTCCTGGAAGCTCGATAGATCATCTCTCATTGAATATCTATAATCGGAGTGGATATTGGACATTGAACTGTACCTCCTTATTGGTGTGGGTTGGCTCATGACATCTGATGCTTGTCTGAGATCAGTGAAGGATCCATACTGCATTCCGAGTCCCCAGTCCCTTCCCTCGCCAAAGGACAAGCTGTAGGAATGCTTCATTGTAGACAAGTCTACAGCCATGTCTCCTCCAGGAGGATGATAGAAAGGATCGTTCTTCATGAGATTATAATTCATACCAGCTTCTACTAGGTTAGTGTCCGACAGAGATGAATGCAGTCGTCCAGAAAATACGTGAGAGAAGGCTTTGCGTTCATCATACAAACTTTGACCTTCCCTGTAACTGGCCATAGGTTCTTTATACTGGTAACTGTCAATAGGTTCATGTGCTTTGTTGTCATAGTACTCCTGAGCATTATTCCTTTCAATCTGCTGTAGCTCAGTCATTGTTTTATCAGGGACCTGAGAACCTGGATTATATGACCCTGTGCAACTGCCAGCAAAAGGAAACTTATACACAACATCACAACAAGCAGCCCTTTCTGATTTTGCTCCAGTCAAATCCAAGGCATTTGAAGGAGGAAGATCTTGTTTCACCAGCTTTGTGACTGTGCCTGCGGTTACATTGTCCAGCTGCACCATCGTGTGATGTGCTTTCACTCCAGTCAGAATTGGAGGAGGCACGGACGGCTTGGATTCTACTGATAAATCGCCGTGTACTTGCGAGGCAACAAGGCTGCTGTCTTGGGGTACTGACTGAGGAAAGGTATTGACAACAATAGCATTACTGAGGTTACTCTGACCCACCATAATGTCTACCTTACGCACGGGAGGTGTTTGATTAGCTAGGTTAAACCGAGCAAAGCAAGGCTGTGTGTGACAACTTAAATCTGGTTTGGATATGAATGCAGCAATATCAGTGTTGGTTCCACTCTCGGTTATAGTTGGTGGTTGAGGTGCAGATTCAGGTTTGGTTTGTGTGAGACAGATTGCCGGTCCTGTCCCATGTCCAAAGTCCACACGACTCTGGAATGGGTCTCCGTAGATCATTGGTACCTTTGCTATGGTTGATGCTGTTGTTATACCCACAGGCGTGGGGACGACAACATTGGGGTGTTCCTGCACGTTCAGATTCATGATTAACGGCTGCACTGCGCTCATTTGACGACTCGGAATCTGATCTGCATCAAGCGAGTACCTTCTACTCTCTGAAGCCAGGGATGTTAAATCCATGCCGTGATCCGTTATGATGACAGGAGTTGGTTTAGAGGCTGTTCGAAGATCTACAACAGAACTACCTGCCTTTGGGCCTTGAGCTGAGCTTACAATTGAGTTCTGGTAAGATAATGACATTCTGCTTTCAACAGGAAGAGCTCCTCGACTAACCACAGTGGTAGTTGTGACGACCGTTGCAGCAATCTGAACTCTAGTTGCCGGTTGAATCATAGAATTGGTCATCGACGCCCTATCAATCTGCATTGAAGTCACAGTATACACCAGTTGCTGCTGCATTTGTTGCTGTGATGAAGTAACGACTGTTTGAGCCCAACCGTGCAGCGTCTGTTGTCGATTCAACCGAGTTGGCGAGGAGATTGGTGATGTGGAAGAACTGACAGTCAAAGGCTGAGTCGAGGTTGCGACATCCGATGCCAAAGTAATCACCATGAACGCAGATTCTGGAGATGATATCTGGCGAGTCAGGCGGGCTGACCTCACCGATGTTTGAGTACCTTGAGCCGTGATTGAGGACGGCGAGGAAGCCATCGTTACCCTGGTCGGCGAGAGATCTCTGGGGGTGGAAGTCTGTGTTGAAAATTCTGCAGTCGATCTATTACTCGGCATACTACCCGCTGCTGCACTGGTTTGGGATACCGACCTCTGCGTTCCAATCTCTGAATGAGCAGTGCTGTGATACGGTGAAGAAACTGGGGAATGAGGACCTTCTGGGCTGGAACCTTTGTAAAATGCCCCGGGTTGCGTAGAGGCGTGTGGAACATCGGGAGTCGAAGAATATGCATCGACACTGAATCTCCTATTTTTGGAAACATCATCATACTGAGAACTGTACTGTCCTTTTCCGACTGTCATTGCAGGATCTGATGGTTTTGTGGGAATGTATCCCGTACTTCTATCTACAGAGGTAGACGTCGCAGAAGTAACTGTTTTATTGAAGGACGTTGGCTGAGCAAAACTCTCTGACGTGGTAGAGAAGCTTGGTGTACTGGACTGACTGACGACGACAGCAGTTGTAGCCACACTTGACCTTTTGTTGTAGTTAGCGTAAGAGATTTCAGCAACACCTGACGTGTTAACATTTCCTGCTGTAGAGGGTGAAGTCCGAATTTGATCGTGCTCATCTCTGGTGAAGTACTGGGTAACCCTGACATCAGGGATGCTTCTACTAGGCAGCCTGTTTGGGTCAGCGTTGGATGAAACGAATGAAACGGGGGCAGACAACTGTGTGGGGCTTGTTCCAGGGGTCAGAAGGGCGTCGGTTTGCTTTGCCGGGTCAGAGTAAGCACTCTCCGCATCCAGAAGCTTCTTCACCTGAAAGGATCGCTCAAGAGTTTGCAATTGGATGTTCTGTTGCTGCAGTCGGAGGTCAAGGGAAGGCGAATAGGACATTTTAGGGGGTTGCACGGAAGTCATCAGATTGTTCTGCTGGTACGCTTCCGATTCCTGGAACTCACTCGGTACGTTCGTCTGTGATAATTCTATGTCATTACTCGAGTAGCTGTACTCGTCTGCTGTTGTTTGGTATTTGTAATGACTCTCAATGCCATCATCCGGCTTATAAGCAGCGCTGAGGGGAATGATGCTCTGTGCGGACTGCGGTTTCTGCGTCTTAAGCATCTCAGCTTTCCTCATCATCTCCTCATACGCCTCCTCTGCACTTTTCAATGGCTTTTGATTCCCTGAAGAATTTGTTGTGGCGCTGGTTGATTTTTCGGTCGGCGAGTATAAGGACATGAACGACGGGAGGTTGTACTCGCTGCCCGATTTGTACAATCTGCAGGTTGCTATCTCGAAACCTTCAGCTTCGGAGTCCATGGTGGGTGAGTACTCCGAGCAGGAAGATCGATGCAGTTCTTCCATTTCTGCAGCCTGTCGGAGTTCCTCGGTGGGAGAAGCGTCCTCAATGGGGGAAAGGTTACTTGGAGGTGTCTTGGACCTTTCACGCCTCCTCTGTGCCCTTAACTCCTCTTTGTCTCTCTTCGCTTTTCGAGCTGTGCTTCGAATGCGCTGCTGCTCAACCTCTCGCATCTTTTCCTGCTCTCGAAGCAGTTCTTCTTCCTCCCGCAGCTCTTCTTCCTCAGACGAATCTTCGATAGTCGGCAACAGAGGGCCGTGTGAACGATGCCGAGCTTTCCTCTGTTGCTTAACCTCTTCCAGTCTATGCCTGCGGCTTGGACTGCTATCGCTGTCTTCTTCCAACGACGAGACAGAAGTAGGCGAGGCACCCGATGAAAAACTTGTCGTGGAAGCTGGCAACGTCGACGAGTATTCACCCTTTGATCTTTCGTCTGGTGATCCAGTCAAACTCTCCATCTCAAGTTCAGGTTCACGATCAAGACTAAGATCCGGTTCGTTGCTGAGTTCCTCATCTCTACTCGTGTAAGTATTTGTGTTGTTCAAATCTATGGTTTTGAAACGCCGTAACCCAGCTGTTCCCCCCATCGTGTCGACTTCTACGCCACTTTTGGATTCGCCATAGCTATCATCGTGCCACGACTGGCTTTCTTCTTGTGCGTAACTTTCTGTTGTTGTAGCACCTTCATAATTGCTGCTTGGGATCTGAGGCAGTTGTCGTTTGGAAGGACTTTGTTTACTGGACGAGTCGTGTTTCTGACTCTTCTTTGTGAGGCGTTTAGTTTGACTGTGAAAGTCCTCATCTTCCAAAGAAGCATTATCCTCATCGGCACTCATTTCCAAGATTTGCCTTCGCATAAACTCTTCATCGGTTAGTTCTTGCTCTACTTTTGGCTCCTTACTCTGAAGAGCAGTTATTGCACTCTTCCTGCCCTCTTCAACATACTCATGTTGCAATTTTCTACCAAATTCGTCCAGTGATTCCAGGCTCTCTCTTCGATTTTCCCAATCAAAAGAATCTTCATCCTCCTCCTGTATATCTTCAAGCTCTTCGTCTGAACTGTAAGACTCTGGTGTGATCGAAAGCGAGCGTGGGCGATGTCGCTGTTCTTCACTTTGATCCTCAAAAGACCGTCCTCCCTTAGCCTGACCTTGACGAGTTTGGGATTCAAGCAGTGGCCGTACAGTACTTTCCAGCTTGGTAAGTTCTGAGATGCTCGGGGGACTGTGTGCCTGCAAGCCGGACTCATTGAGCTTCTGCCCCTCTTGATGCAGTAAAGTTGTGATCTCACTCTGTGAGCTAGATATGCCGTCGGATGAGTAGCCTGTGTCACTTAAACTCTGTGGACTACGGGATGAATCCTGGGGATAGGGTTTGTTCAATTCCTGAAAACAATAAGATACTGGTCAGCAAAGAGTTAAAATAAGCAATACTCTCACATTACGAGCTTATTCTAACACATTAGTGTTCTCATCACTAAATATTAGGGTTGGAGTCTTAAGATGATATCAAATTATGCTTTCCAATTACATTGTAATTACACAATTAAAATAATAAAAAGAAAATGTGTAATATGGTTATGTCTGAAGGACATTTACCAGGAATTATATCCTTACCCAGAGGGCAATTAACAACTGGAACAGGTTATCAGGGTGGTTGAAGCTGGGACCCTGGAATCATTAAAAGAAATCAGAACGTTTGAACGGGTGATGGAAAGATACGTTTCCTGGAAAGAAGAAACCAAATGGCCCGAATTATACTCTCTTGTGATCACCCATTTTGAACCACAGCCTGCATGTAGAGAGCACCCGTCTAAATTCTCAGTGCGTTCTACAGAGACGCTGACGGATATCGAAATGGGGAGAGCGTAGACAGCAATGTCTCGCTTCTTGGGAAACAAGTGGAGGGATAGAACAATTCCCCAGAAGTCATGACTTTTAACTGAGATTATTCTCTTGTTTCATGACCAACAAAAGCAGTGTGTAGTGAAGGTTGCTGTCCCAGGACAGCAGAGGGCAGGACTCAAAAGCCCAGAGAAAAAAAACCCGAGGTCGAGATCCTTTACTGGAAAACTAATTAACCTGAAAAAATAATTAAAATGTAATGTATACGTTCCGACAGATTTATTGTTAATGCACAGAAAAAGAACTAAATCATTTTTTAATGGTCCTTTTTGTTTTCAGTGCAGCGTGATTGATGCTGCAACTGAAAGCCAGTTAGGAAAGATCACAAAAGTTTGCTCAGCTGATGGTGTTTTAACCCACTTGATCTCATCGTTCCAGAATACCCACCCTACCCTACCTCCTGGAGTAGTGGAGAGTAATATCTGTTTGTGTCTGTCAAACACAAGATGGGAATAATTTCCAAAAATCTTGGATTGGAATTTACTTGACTATATTCAGAAGAGAAACATCATTTTCACATATATCTGTGTGACTCTCTAATGTTCCTCGTGCACACAGAAAGCAGGAGCTCCATTTTGAATAACTATGATGCATCGACGATTTCATTAAACCACTACAGAAATAAATAATAAATTCAAATAAAACCGTAAGGCTATCAAATTCAATTCCCTTTGACCTGCTTCTTTGATCTTTGACCCCATTCAAGCTCAAGCCACTCACCTCCAGCACTTTTGTTTTCTGCAGATCGGATAACTGAGAGATCTCTTTGGGGGAGGAATCCACCTTTTTGTCTGTGCTGACGCCTTTGGACGTTACGGGCCCAGTGACGCTCTGGAGTAGAGGTTTCGGCTTCTCCCTTTCTGACGGTGCCCTGTTTGGGGACGCAGCCTGGGTCAACAGTTTGGTCTCAATTCGTTCAGGAACCGTCTGTACTTGCTGAAGACGTGACTTATCCTCAGCAGAAGGACCTTGATGTTTGGTTGGTGTGGACTGCCTGCTTTGGGGAATGGGTTGATCCTTCTGGTGGGCCAGTTGTTGACCTGATGCTGAAGTGGCCCTTTTCTGCTGGATGCTGGGGCTGCCTTGCTGTTGCTGTTGCTGACCCATGTCTTTCCTTTGCTGTTGACTGGTCCCCATCGGTTGGTGATGGGGTGACATTGTTGGCTGCTGTTTCGATGCCAATGATGGGACAGGAATCGGTGCATCTCCTAAACTGCCAGATAGCAGTCGCTGGGTTTGACAATTCAAACAAAGCCATTCTTTTTTCTGTATAATGGGGGGGGAAACAAAGCAGATAAGATTGCAGATCAATATCAATAAAGTATAAATTTAATAGCAGCCATTAATTGGAACTCTATGCCATAAACCCAGCCTAACTGTGGCTTTCTAACTGAAGGAATCATTTCATTGTTAAACCACAGAACCCAAGTTCTAATGGATTTGTGGATAAATCCACTGTGCGGGACACTATTGAATTATTTGGCCTGTGATAACCCAGCCTAACTGATCTCAGCTGGAAATGCAGCAGGGCTTATAAGTGATCTCAGCATTTCTAGGCTGGGGAGAGGAAAATCACACAAAGGTTTTCTGTCCTGATTGTTACGCGGTGATATTTGCGAGAGAAAAAAAATATTTTTGATCACTCAATCACTAGTGTTTGTGGGACGCTGCTGTGCGCAATTGGCTGCCACGTTTTGCCCACAAAATATACAGTCAATTCACTTTACAGTAAATTCTGTGAAGCGCTCTGAGAAGTGATAAGGCGCTATATCAAATGCCAGAATTATTATTATTATAAGGCTCACTATAACGCTCCTTATATTCAAATAGCTTGTCAACATCCTATCTAGGTACATTGATTGGAAAATATCTATTTGAGTGAATAGTAGAGGATTCAGATTCGGATTCCAGCATAAGTCAGCCCATATTTTAAAAAAAACACCCATTTTCCAGCAGTAGGATCTATTTTGAAGCAACATTACAAATCACACTGAATAACCGCGGGTTATTGATGACTGCTGTCCTGTAATAAACACATGACAGATGCTGTTTCAAGCCCAGGTTTTCCAAAATGGTTATTTTAGCAATGATCAAGTCGATAGATTTTATAAAACAAAGTACCGTAGGTTTAAAAAAAAACTTAAGATAGATTGTTTAAGAAGGCTTTGGGCACCAAATCATTAATGATTTAGTGATTTTAATTATGCTGTACAGCTCCTTCGAGCAGAATCTTCACTTTACTTATTAACGTCCACCAGCCAAGGTTCCACTTTGAATAATTATTTTCTATCATATTCCGAGTGGTTTTTTTTTCTTCCCTTGAGGGGAGAGAAACCGTAGGCAAATTTCCTTACTCCACACATACGCCTCTGTTTACCTTGCAGTAAGTAGGTCGTTAATCGATTGGCGGATTGCTTTCCGGGGGTAATAATGCCTTCAAAAAATAATAATAATAATAATTTGGTCCCTCAATCCACGACTGTTTGCGGGACACTGCAATTGGCTGCCCTGTTTCACCCACAAAAATATACAGTCAATTCACATTACAGCATATTCTGTGAAGCGCTTTGAGACGTCTCAACGACAACAACAACTTGGATTTATATAGCGCCCTCCACGCCGGACGGCGTCTCAAAGACGTGATAAGGCGCTATAGCAAATGCAAGGATTATTATTATTCCTTTGCTGTCCTCTATTCTATATCGTGGCAGCTCTGAAGCAGTTTCTGGACCAGCCTACTCCAGGCTCTTTGAGTAGTTGTCATATCCCTCCAGGGGAGGAAACACTTTGATGGGATGAAACCACATCTACAATCTCTCCAAGATTAGTTTTTTTTCTAAACATGTATTATTCTCAATCTCAACTAGCTTCAGTTCCAACTCCCATATTGACACGGTGAGGCAAATCCTGCCCCCATGAAGATGACAGACCCAGGACTGTGATTTAGTGTTTAGCCATCAAAGTTGGTCTGCAGTACGTTCCCGTTATAACTCGGGGAAGACAACGATTCCTCTTCGACTTGTGCAATGGCTACTAGAGCTTCGTTACAATAATTGTGCACCTGTTTCACACATTGTGACAGGTTACAAGAATAGCACATAGGTAGTTCGGGACCTATGTGCACGCGACCACCAGGAAGGTGGAAGGCGAACCAGATGGACTTTGTTTTTTTTTTTTCATCGAGCATTCCTTATGTTCTTACAAGTATGATTTCCTGTACATTTCTCGCAAAATATATTATGGCGTATAAGGCTCATCGCGTATAACACAATTAAGATGCAAAATTTCTGCTCCAACAATTTGTCTCTGAATGATATCACCCTGACGAGCTTACAACACATTTAATTTCCTACATTGACACCTTGAATAATTTTGCCCAAACAGATAATATTTCCCCCACACATTAAGTTGCTTGCTACAAAACGTAAGCAATTTTTCTGATGGTTAGTTTTGAAATTGAGGCACAAATGAAAAATCGCCCGTTTACAATGAATCACGCAGTTCGGCAATGTACAGAAACAGAAGCTCAGATTTATTGCATACTTTACGTCTCTGTGTTTAACGAAACAAAGCAGCAATATACTTTCTCTCCCCCCACCCCTCCCCCAGCCCCTCCAACATTTGATTTTACTGATGGAAGAAAAACGAAACTGTGTAATAATCTGTAATCAATCAGACATTTTTGACAAGATCTTTCAAAATATAATTGTAAGGATATCAATTTGAGTTCAGTGAGTCACATAGCAATCAGCAAACCCTGCTCATACTGAGTTGTCATCTCCGAATTGTTGCTGGAATGAAGTCTCCTGAGACTAAGAATATATTCCCAAGTGATTTCAGTTGAATACTTGGCACCTTCCGCCAAGCTATCTCCAGACTTGGTCTGTAATCATATTTAAGTGACATGGTAATTAAACGCAATGGTTTGAGATGTGCAAACACTCCCCTCACAGAAAGATAAATTTGTCAGCTCTTGGCACCAACGAAATGTGTGATTAACTACTATTTTTTTCAAATTGAGGGACAGGAGCAAAGGACGTAGACCCATATATTGTAGGTCAACAGCAAGGTTGAAAAGATTATGGGAGAAGACAATATATAGATTTTAGCTCTCTTTATGATTTATTGGTTTGAAGGAAGAAACGGATTCTTGGAGGCACCTACAGCAGCAAAGATGTGAGACTTATATTTGACATGAGAGATATGACGGTCAAAAATGCGGATAAATACATCGACAAATGAAGCAGAATAGTCGAGCCTTCAATATAATTACTGCAGTGAGATTTGCAAGAGACCTCGAGACATCTTTAAGGTTAGAGTACTCTCTGATACTCACTTGCTTGAAGCCATCAGAAGCACCAAATGAAATCTTCCATTAAAGCAATGGCTTGAGATCATTGCTGAGGTTATGCTCTCTCTCTCTCTAAGTGCTGAAGGTAGACAAGATTTAGCTTCTCCTGTTTGGCTCCCGTTAGTGCCTTATTCCCTCAGGCGCTGACTGCACTGACCTGTATGGATGCTCACTCCAGCTCAAGGAGTGGTACCTCTGTGTCTTGTTCTACACCCCTCCCCATCCCGTTGTCTTTGAAGCCTTGCATGTGGACTCTCACTCGCACAGCTCCCCTCACCTGCAAAATGTCTCCATCAGCACCTCTCTCCCGAACTGCTGAGAACCTCATCCACTCAAGAACAGGTTCAATTATCCCAATGCCCTAGCTTTGATTACTTTTAGTGCTTATAACAGCATAGACATAGATAGTTCATACATTCTGGATTATAGGTAAACAGAGGTATCCACAATGAAAGAAGGATTATTGATTCTGATATCAAAGCTTAAAAATTTACCAAGGAATACTGTAAAGTGGCATCTGATTACCAGAAAAATCATAATTTCTTTCAAAAGTATTTACTACCGTGTTTTGAGACTGTAAAACGTCTCCACCAATCCCTTCCACAAAAAAAATAATAGTTTGATCACTTAATCCACGACTGTTTGTGAGGCACTGCTGTGTGCAATTGGCTGTCGATGCGAAACAAAGCAGTTAATTCGCTGATGCGAATCACATCGGTTAACCTAAAAACTGATCATGAACCACAACTCAACGGGCAGGCCAGAATACGCTAGAAGGATTTAGTAAATTTCAGTTTCAAGAAAAGCTGCTTCAGGGCCCCATTACTCTTGGTCGAAAAAAAATCAGCTTTCAAAATTATGTTGTGTTATGAAAAGTAGAGCAGATCAATGACTGTGGGAAATCCCATGGTCTTATATTGTATTGCAGCTGACATGTTCCTGGGTATTGAGGAAATAAGTTGGGGAAGAATTACTTTATTTTGTGGAAGCCAATTGTAATTTCTACAACTTCAAATGCTCAATATACATTTCGGAGCGCTCCCCCAAAGCCCTCCACGTATATCATTTGTACGATGTATGCACTTCACTGAAGCCTAAAAAATAATTTGAGTAGTTGAAAATGTGGACTTGAGACCAACTGCTTTCTTCCAATCATCACTGCATTATTGTACTACACCGTCATTTACAGAAGCAATGAGAGGAATGGAAATTTCCATCCATCGGACTTAAAGACGGAAATCTTCCAAGTAAAGGTCTCTCTAATGCTTCAATTTCCTTCAGGCAACTCTATATCTTTTTCCATTCAAAGACCTCCATCTACTTTAGATTTCAGTGGTTGAATTAAATTTTCCTGCCTCCTGTATCAGTTGATTGCACCCTTGGGCTGAAACCAGGAACCCGACTGGCTTAAAAGGAGCCACGTGACAGAAGAGTCTGAGTTTATTTTTGTTGCATCCTAAGGAAAGGATCGCTGAAAAGAAAGTGACATAAGAATATAAGAAATGCTTGGATGATAAAAGACCAGGGTCCATCTAGTTCACCTCCCTGGTGGTCACGTGCGCATGTGTCCCAAACTCCCTATGTGCTATATTCCATAGTGTTATTTCCTAAAAGAAAACAAGCTGATCTATGTTTGAAAGAATCAACAGTTCCTGCTTCAAACGTCTCCCTCGGGAGCCTGTTCCACAGGAAGAGCTTTTTCTTCCATGTCACATAAAAGTTTTTACAAATATTGTTTTTAAAAAAATAATGTAAATACTCGCCTCACAAAATAGCACAATCCGCAGTTTTTAATCTGTCTCTTTTGAATGAATAAAATCCACATTAAATAACGTTTCAATAATGTTTTAGCGCTCTTAATCAATGTCATTTTTTTAAAAAAAAATTTCAAATTCTTCCTCAGATGTTTCTATGG